TCATTATGTATAAATATTCAAAAGGGTTTCTCATTCAAAACTATTTACTGGCCAAAAGGGTAAAAACCGCAAAAAATATCAAGCGTTATCAGAAAAATGGTAGAAGTCAGGATGATAGCAATTTGCTGATATATTTTTTGAATAGAAGACAGTCGATTATGTATAAAACATTCAAAAGGGTTTGTCATTCAAAACTGATTCAGGTCTTTTTCCACATTTCATCTTTTTTCAGCCGATAACTGGAAAACTATTTATCGCATCGAAAAATAACATCGATTTTTGGAATGGGCGTAAAATTTTACATCTTGTACGAAACTTTGAACATATTCTAATTTTTAGGCACTTTTCCCTATTCTTTTGGTCCTCATCCTTTTATTGAATCATAAACATTTTTAATCTATCTCCAAAGAAGTCAAATAAATGTTTATTTTATTTAGAAACAGCATAAAAATATCAAGCATTATAAAACTATTTTTACCTTTAATCTTTCCATTCATCAAAACGCTTTTTTAGCAATTTTTTATCAGATTAACTGTTTTTGCACACTCACACACAAAGTATCCAGGCTTTAGCTGATAGTATTTCACGTGAATATGGTCGATGAAGCATAGTGACGTCGAGCGAGGTCCAACCACAACATCTCGTCGTCACTCAACTAAACCAATTTTCTATGGTAAAGCCATGACCACTAAAAATTTGACTGATGCAGGAAACAGTGTCATAAATAGTCCTAACTTAGGAAACCATCCATCTATGGATTATGTAAACAACTCATCTTCCTCATTCTCCAGTAATTCCCATCATCATCAGTTTCCTTCTCGTTCTCAGCGTCCGACAAGCTTACCCAGTGAGCCCAGTCGAGATAAATGGAAGAGTGTTATTATTATTGTACCTGTGCGACTAGGAACTGAAGTCTTAAACCCTATTTATGGCTCTTGTATTAAATCCCTTTTTCGTCTAAAATCATGTTTAGGTATAATTGGTGGTAGACCTAGACACTCATTATATTTTGTTGGTACACTGAGATAATTAATCTACCTTGACCTCATATGATCAGAGCATGATGATCCAAGCAAAACTGATT